AAATCTGAATATTGGATTTCTAAAGTTTTTAAATGAAGGTCAACACATGTTAAACAAAGAGACACCGAACATGACGCCGCAGCACAACGACGTTTACGATTTTATTGTGGTTGGTGCTGGCACAGCTGGTGCCACGGTAGCTGCAAGATTAAGCGAAAATCCTGCAATTAAAGTATTGTTGATTGAAGCTGGAAGTAATGAGAACTATTTAATGGACGTTCCAGNANTAGCACCTTACTTGCAATTGAGTGACGTCAATTGGNAATATTATACAAAGCCATCGGATAAATATTGTCTCGGTATGAAGAATAACAAGTGTCATTTTCCAAGAGGCAAAGTAATGGGTGGTANCAGTGCGATAAACTACATGATCGCCAGTAGAGGCACCGCCGAAGATTACGATCGTTGGGCTGCGATGGGAAACGAAGGCTGGGCTTATAAGGACGTATTAAAGTATTTTAAAAAGTTGGAAACGATCGATATTCCACATCTGCAATCGGATACTACCTATCATGGAACAAATGGACCAGTGCATATCTCTCAATCACCATTTCGTACGCCATTGGCAGATATCTTTCTACAAGCTGGTCAAGAGCTAGGATATACCGTAGTNGATTATAACGCAGAAAATGTAATAGGATTCGCGTACCCGCAAACCATTTTCATCAATAACACTCGCATGAGTAGCAACAGAGCTTACTTACATCCTATACGTGATCGCAAGAATCTCTACGTGACACGAAATAGTATGGTGAGTAAAGTGTTGATTGACCGCCGTGCAAATAGGGCAATAGGCGTACAATTCATCAAAGCTGATCAAACAATTTCCGTATTTGCGAGTAAAGAGATAATCTTGTGCGCGGGTGCNATTGGATCACCTCAGTTGCTGATGCTATCCGGTATCGGTCCGTTTAAACACCTCACCGATCTCGGGATAGACGTTNTNCGAGACGCTCCGGTCGGAGAGAATCTGATGGACCATNTAANTTACNGCGGATTGGCGTGGANANTAAACNNANCANTAAGTNTAAGNGNACAAGACNNNNTTNNTATNTTTNGTANCTCATATATNATGGATTTNNTNTTAAACAACACAGGACCGTNNACNANCCCGGGTGGAATCGANGNTCTTGCCTTTATCAATACTAAACAGNCAGAAAAACATAATGGTTCACCAGACATTGAACTAATGCTTTTNAATTTTATANTAAAAAGTNANCATCTTAGTTGGAANGTATTAAATTTGAAGAATGAAGTNTCTCAGTTGANGAGGAACTNCNAAGATNATNANGGCTGNAGCATTNTTCCAATGTTGTTGAAACCAAAGAGTCGCGGTCGGATAAGATTATTGGCTAATGATATTAATGTTAAACCTGAGATCAATCCGAATTACTACGACGATCCGGAAGATGTCAGAACAATGATCAATGGTATTAAGGCCGCAATTAATATTGCCAATACCAAATCAATGCAAGCGTTCAATCCACAATTTTTACGCGATATTTGTGAACAATACACATTTGACTCATACGCTTATTGGGAATGTGCAATAAGAACGCTATCTGTCACAATTTATCATTTATCCGGTACTTGTAAGATGGCGCCGAGAACAGATCCCACTGCTGTTGTCGATCCCAAATTAAAGGTATTACACGATCATTAAATTATTACTTATAGTGTTAACAATTATCAAGCTAGATAAAAAAATTGATACATCTGAGTTAAAAATGAAAATTACTTTACAGGTTA